GCAATATTATTTTGCCTTTACAGTGTGAGTTAACTGTTTCCAAGAACACTGGTTATCTCCAATTCTCGAAGATGCCAAAAGCCTCTGGCAAGAGAAGCACATCGCTAACTGGTTGAAATTTGCATCAGCACATTCCTATGTCATTGCTCAGTCAGAAAAAAAGCCCCCCCTTGGGACAACCAGTCAGGAGTTTGCTGAATTGTTGGACAGGAAGGAAAGACAGATGAACGGATATTCTTTTGGTATAAACAATTGCTCTTAAAAAAGATAAAAAAATAAAAATGAATGAGCAAGAGAGACTGTACACAGTCAATTAACTTTTAAAAATGAACAAGAAAAACATATTATAATGGGTAAACAAATCACTTTCTGTTAGGATGGATATGGGCCACTTTCCTCTGTACTGTATATGTATGTGGGAATACATGGAGAGGTGCAGATAGGGAAATGTATGGAAAGTACCTGTTTTTTTGAAATAAATAAAAAAAATTAAAAACAGTTATAGAATCAATACAAGAGAGAAAGAAATGCAAAGTAAAAAGTGCAGAAAAAAAGAAAAAACAAATGTAAAGAAGTAACTTCCAATTTTCCTTATAGCAGTCAGAAGTACAAGTATAAAGTTACCCCCATGGTTACAAAATAACTCATTTTTTCCCCTACAATCCATTTTTTTACCCTAACAATCAAAGTCAGAAATCATAAGTTCATTTTTTTCTGTTGTATGTACAAAGTCTATTAAGGGTTTTCAGTCAGCAATAAATATAGATACATAATGTCTTTCCTCAAACCAGAGAAGTCAATTTGGCCACCTCAACAAATCTCATCATTTTCACAATCCATTCCTCACCTGAGGGTATTGTTGAATCTTTCCACTTTTGCACCTCACTGCAATTATCATATATAAAAACAAAGTTACATGACCTTTTTTTCCAGCTGTTTGTCCCTCAGTCCCAAAAGAAAGGTCTCTGGTTTCAATTGTACATTATTATTTAAATGTTTCATAATTAGTGTATGTATTTGAGTGCAAAACTTTCTGTATTTTTTTTTACATGACTACAAAGACAAAAATATCCCATATTGTTGACATTTGTAATATAGATTTATATATTATAAACAGTGTCTCTGGTGCAGAGGTGGGTTGCTTCTGGTTGGTCCTGGTTTGGCTTAACTGGTAGTGGAATTCAGGCTTGGGTCGCAGAACTGAACTGGTTCCCTCGTCCCCCCTGGGTCGCCACCATTTTGGTTTTTAGTGACTTCGCACATGCACGAAGAAGAATTTACATTAAACAGCGTGCACACATGCACATCTAGTGTGTGCAGAGATTGTGAACCGATAGTAAAACTGGCAGCAACCTACCCCTGCTCTGGTGAATATATTCATTCACTTGTGTTTAAAATTTAAATAAAAGATATTCATTTTAGCAAATAAATGTTCATTATTTGTATACAGTTGAATTTCAACTTCAGTTTTGCACTTTTCAACATCAAAAATTATGTCTACTTTAAATATTTTAATAATTGTATGTAAGAAAACTATGAACAAATACAGATACTCCTCAACATACTATGACCACAGTTGAGCCCAACATTTCTTTTGTCTCATTTTACAATTTCAACAGTTGTTAAGTGAATCATTGCATTGGTTAAGTTAGTAAGCATAGTTGTAAAATGAATCTGCCTTTTCCACTGACTTCCTTGTCAGAAGGTCACAAGAGGTGATCAAATAGCTATGTCAGTTGTCAAGTGTCCTAATTTTGATCATGTAACCATGGGGATTCTGAAAATGGTGGTGTGAAAAAGGGTCATAAGTCACTTTTTTCAGTGCCTTGTAACAGTCACTAAATGAACCGTTGTAAGCTGAGGACAACCTGTGTATCCCCCTGTTATAAGATCTTCTCTTGATTTTAATTATGAATTCTCATCATTGACAGAATTCTAATATCTTACAATAAGTGATGCTTACTTTTTATCTTTCATCTATAAAATGCTTCTTGTGCTGAAAGCCATAGAGGCGTTTTCAGTCACAACTTGGGTTTGTATCTATTCCACATTCTCAATATGGCATGTCTAACAACCTTAGCTTTATTGAACCATAAATATTCATGCCACTTGAATCTCAAATGATATACTTCTGTTCCCCAAGACTTCTATTTCTCAATAACAGCCACATTTTCATGCAAACTAAGCAGCAGGATGCAAACTACACTTTAAATCAGGTAGAGTCAATCCTCCTCTTTCTTTTATATCTTGTAATGCCTTATATTTATTTAACCTTGTATTTGTGGGTTTTTCTTCTCTGCCACACAAATTCAGATGTGCCTTTTGCCATTGTTTAAATAGTCTATCATTTGTCAAACAGGTATTGTCTGAAACAAAAATAACCTTCTGGGTAAGACATTTATCTCAATCATAGAAATTCTCTCCAGCAATGACTTTTGTCGCACCTTGACATATCTTTTTAACTTCATTTCATGCCTTAACCATTTTGAAATAGCGTACAGTTCATATATTTTCTTTTTTTATATTTTTCATTTTCATACACTCACATGTATACACCATACAGTGTTGAACAATAGTTGCATCAATTCCTCTTGTCAACAATGCCCCAGAAAATAAAAGCCCAATATACCTCTTCCATTCCCCATACACCTCTTTCTTCCACCACCCTCCAACTTTCTATCTTCCCTCTATCATCCCCCTCTACCCTTCTCCCCCACCCTCT